TTTCTTTTTAGTTGGACAACAGCTGTGAGGGAGGGGCAATTTAGCGTTTGAAACGGGCGCCATGGAAGGGTAGTTACGCCACTGCAACTAAGCAAAGCACGCAAATATCTTTGCAAAATATTTTGAAAATATCCTTTTCAAAAAGTGAAGAACCATCTAAACATCCTTGAAAGGAAGCGATGCAGAGCGAGTGGAAATACATTGAAAAAGGAATGGAATTATCAGACCATTGGTGGATTTTCTTGTACATTTATTTTGTAATATAATTTGAAAATTACTGCTCTCTCCTATAGATGGCAAAGGAGGATTAAAGAGATCAATCAGTATCATCCAATTCCTTTAATCAAAATATAAACGTACGATAGTTATTAAATTGTCACCACCAGGGTTGGGCAAAATATTTTAAATTTAGTATTTAAATACTTAGCCAAAATACTTGGTAACTAGGTTTCTAAATACATACTTATTATATATTAGGTTTTCAATCGTTAAATACTACTTGAAGTTGGACGCCGTCCCTGTAACCTGTTATAAAAGTATTTTCATGCGTTGAAACTTTCTTTCATATTTCATTTCTTTCAGGCGTAGCTTTGTTCAAATATATCCTTACAGAATCTGTCATTGAACTTACCAATGAATCGTAGTAGCTGATAATGCTCCTTCAAATATTCTCAACATCCAGTGGCCTTGTATTTTACCACCATACGGGGATACAAATTGGTAATATTGCAATTTCAAAATAATAATCGACGTTAAAAATACTTGATGGCATTGACGATTATAATAGATAGAGTTTAAGAACAGCTACATTTTTTATTTTGTTTGTTAATATACACAAGGATCACCTGTAAGTTTTTCTTCTGTATTATTCTCTACTCTTAATATTAAATCACTCTCAATTAGTTTCGAAACTTCTGTCGCAAAATTTTCTACTACTACATTATATTGTTCCCTGGATTTGCTTAACACTTCCATATTTTCTTCCATAATTTTTGAAGGGATTACAACTTTACAAAATCAATCTAATTTGTGTTAACTTCCACTTCTGCAATTGCTCTATTAATCGTTTTGCATACGAATGTATATAAAAATTAAAAGGTGACTGTGTTGTGTATTTATGTGAATAAGGTGCTAGTAGAGTTGAATAAGAATAAGTTGTGGGTCATATTCATTTCAATATCGTATTTGTGCTCGTAGGAGCGTCAAAGTGAGATGTGGAATGAGCGTTCGCTCAGTCTCTAACATTACGTTTTGTCCGTATTCACTTTAAATTCTTCAATTTTAACAAGTTCAAGACAATACTGTTCTTAGGTTATTGCAAATGAAAAAAATATGGTAGTATGCCTACGATAAAAATTAAAATGAAATATGCCGCGCGATTCACTTGTTCAAATTAACTTCACTTCTTCACTTAAAGATGTCACAATCAGTGTTGCCTACGCCATGAAAAAAAATCATGGCATTGTGAGCGAAACATTTCATGGGGTAATGGTGTTTAATCAAAGCCACCTGCATAGATCTATTTAGGGCGCGTTGATTTAATTCCCGGCATAGTCACAAATATCGCAGCATTAAAACACGCAAATACATGTTTTGGGAAAATTCTGTGAATCTTCTGGCCGGATCCGAAAACAGACGATCAGTTCCGCATGAGGACACGGAGACGCGTCGAGTGACACCTCATATGTCCCGATTGGTGCACGGAAAGCGGTCCAGACGAGTGACGGAAACTCACATCCGACCATAAGCACAATCGTAGTTGCTCAAATACTGTATAGGGATTTCAAATAGTCTATAAACAGTAAATACAATAATTTTGCATTATAAGTTTTTTGCAACAATATATTGTAATTGTGTACTATAAATTCTTAGTTTAGTCATACATTTTTTAACAATAACTACAAACTTTCTAAGATAAAATTCCAAAAATATGTCTAACTCAAATAAACGGAATTTCCTTTTTAAAAATGATGTATTTCAAATTATCAGTCAATAATCCCTAGTTGGCGAATGTCTAAAACCCGCAAAGAAAACAGTTGTTGGATTGGCGCTGCTGAACATATACTAGTATTATAGGAATAAATGCTTTTTTATTGTCAGATAATTGTCCAGCATTTTTAATTATTTATATTTATCATTTAAAAATTAAGAGAATTCAAGTTGAACAGCTGAAATAATATTTTATTTTGGTTTCAATAAGGTATATTCACTAGTAGAATCAAACAGAAAGAAACTATACTCGCTATCTTCTTCATCTGTATTTAATGAATTTTAAATATTTCTTTTTTAAATACATATATTTTATGTATTTAAATACATCTCTAAAATACACGCCCAAAAACTCAAAAATACAGTTTTCAAATACAAAATGTATTTAAAATATATATTTCAAATACAAGAATTTAAATACTGCACAACTCTGGTCACCACCCTATTCCTTAGTTATTGCAAAATGAGAAGGAAAAAATGTGCTGTCATGAAAGGGGTGCAAACTCCGAGGATCTTTTACGATAAGTATTAGTACTCAATATAAAAAAAAGGTATTGCAATTCCTGGACATTATTACTAGAGTCATTATTGCACCCAACTGGATTCCTGAAAGTCTTAGATTCATAAGTGTGATATCGCTTAAGTTCTCACAAAGACATCGTAGGAAATAACTTGCGTAAATAGAGATGATCTCCTCTTTAGGTGGAGTATCTCACACACCTTGGAAAACAATCATAGAGGTAGAAAAGCGTGAAGGTGACTGCAACACCTCTCTGCTAGTGTACTAATGGCCTCGTTACGTAGAAACCAGGGACTGTACAAAAGTCAGTCGTAATGCTACTTACTGGGAACGTGTGGAAGACAATGGACTGCTATTGGATTGCACCTCTATCACTCACTGCTATTCTTGTTAGTATTCCCTCTCCCGTAACAGTCCAAATAACCTTTTTCTTCTATTTGCTTCCTTAAGATAACAACCGGCTTTGATGGAATAGTGGTTATCATGCCGGGCTACTGATATGAAGTTCGCGGGTTCAAACCCTTCCAAGTCGAGGGATTTTTGAGGTGCTAAAAATCGGCGACATCCATGCGGACGCTTGTCGGTGTGTGAAATAGATGCCAGGAAAGGCACTTAGCCGAACGTGGCAAAATTAAATCCTCTAGCAATTTAGCACCAATCAGAGTTTTGATTTGAATTACTGGATACGATTGCGGTTTTCTGCGCTATCTGGTACTCAAATCAAACGTCAAAATTGGCGCACTAGTTCTTCTAGGGAAAACAATGGCAAACTACTGTAGTTATACTTGCACAGGACAAGACCAACTACAATGTAACTTGATAATAACCCGGATAAGTTTCACAAGAAGGCGTCGGAGGCTTTTGGGGACTAGCCTATGGCATTAAAAGAAAAATTTAACACTTTCTTCTGGTTACTGTTACGTGCCCAAATCCTTTCGCACTGAACTCCCACATACATTTATCATCACAATTTCAAGGTCACTCGCAATTTTTAGGAGTAGTTAATCGCGGATTTTTTCTACGCTTTCCATAGAATTGCACTACCTTTTGCTTCGCGAAACTACTTCGGATGCTCATTTCTTATCGTGATTTGCTTTTATTAAATCTATCAAGGACTTCAAAGATAGCTCCCTCACGTATTGGCATTGATGCAATCTGGTTATAATTTTTTTTCCATAGTAGCTTCAATTTCTTTACGACCCATTCCTTTTTACAACATACACCGACAGCTTATCGAGTACCTACCAAGCACTTTCCAAGGCTATTAGTGACTATCCCGCGTAGCGTAGAAATTTCCCGAGTCAGGCGCATGAGAACCAAAACTGTTACTGTCGCCCTTGTAGTTGGAATACATTTTGGATTCCGTATTTTCACGAAGTAGAACATTTTAACGGTTATGTCGGGTATGTATTGTTTTTGATATTAATTGTTCTGTATTCTAGTTAATATTGTGTTGAAAATATTGCTTGGACGTAATAATTACGTAATATTTACAATGCTTGTTAAGAAATGCACAAGTGTAGGAATACTTTTTACACTCACAGTACTTTCGATCCAAAATGTTTAATTCTAGAATTTTTAATTGATAATTTGAAATCTGACTGACTACAATTACGTTTCTTTGCTTTGCTAGTGAAAAATAGATATTAATTTACATCAAAATTTGGAGCAATAATAATCAACTGACATCTCAAGAAGACTATCGTATCCCCAGGAGTGTGCCTATGTTCTCGTATGATAGTAATTATGTCCGACCTTAATGTGCATCTAAACGGATTATGATATGGAAATCGTTTTCCCTAACAATGCGGAACCAGTAAGTAAGTAGTACGTCTTGGAAATATTTTCAGTACTATGAGTATTTTTAGTTCTTGAGAAATTTAATCATCTTTGATTTTTTAAAATAAAGCTACTATATATTTTTTCTCACTAGCAATGGGTAGATCATAAAAAGAGGAAAACAGTGATCCACGTATCATTTAAAAACGTTTTAATAGTAATCCAGAATAAAATTATACTTTTTGACATGTTATTTTAAATTAAACGGATCATATTCCCTTTTGTAGGTTTTGCAAGTGTTGTCTTTGTAGACTTTGTGGACTTTCTCGGGTCTACATAGTACTATAACGTAGTATAAATGGCAAAGATTGTTGAAGGAGCTGCTGGTCTGCTAGCGAGAGTTGTCAACTTATGTAGACTTGTTAATCTTACTTTATTGCTGTATACAACAAATACTATTTGATTTAATAACACAACACAAAACGAAAACAAGGAAAGAATTCGCTATTCAAACGTATTACTATCCATTAGCAGAAATGTTTATTCAATGCACAGTTTAAAAAGAAAACAAACATGACATATTAATGAATAGTAAGAAATATAATCACAATTCTAATATCGGTTATTTGACGGACGAAATGTGGCAAACGTACTTTTGGACCTGGAGGCGGGCCAGCGGTGCGCCCAATCCTCCCCTCTCTCTCCGTTGCAGGCCAGCGCTTCGCGCTGCTGGAGGAGAAGGCCGTGCTGTCGGCCGTGCTGCGCCACTTCCGCCTGGAGGCCGTGCAGCGCGAGGAGGACGTGAGGCCGCTCATGGAGCTGATCCTGCGGCCGGAGCAGTCGGTGCGCGTGCGCTTTGTCGAGCGGGCCCCCGCCCACTTACATACTCGCAATTAAACGTTGCAGCACTTCAAGGTCAGGAGCTGGGAGGATAGTCCAATCGGGATCTCCAATACCAAAAAATTAAGTCGTAACGAAACTCCCGATTGGATGACGGAGTCCCGCTCTCCGTTCGGCTCCTGACCTTGAAGTGCCACTATGTTTAAATCGGAGTATACGTTCATCAATCATGACCTCTACGATCATTTTCTTACTAGAAGAGTGTGTTCTGCTGCATTAGAAACGCCGAAGTTTGTCTCAATAGCATTTAGGTGGAAATGTAGATGCTTCTTTGGCATGTCAACATCACTAGCTGTCAATGGAGAATGTAGTTTAAGAGTGTAGAGAGTGGAGGAGGAGAATTATTGACTTGTGCGACAGGAAAATTGGGAACCATATTCAGGATTTCAGAAAAGATATAGGGACATTTTATTACATGCTTCATGTTAACATTCTTGGAATACATCCTCTGTAATCATTTGTGATGTTATTAAGAAATAGTCCCAATGTATTTTTAATTTTTTTTAAGGAGACGTCTTAAAAATTATTTTCAAGTACCAAATTTGAAAAAAAATGAAAGTTTATATTTTTTAAAATGGGTAGAACAAATTTGTTTTTATACTCGTATATTGGTTATAAGTGCAACGAATCAATAATTTTTCGAAGTCTTTTAATTATATACGAAAATATAGTGGTGTTGGCAATGATCGTTGGCAGTGAGTGCGATTTTCAAATACGTATTACAAAATAATGAACCACTAGACTTTCAAAAATTAATTTTAAAAACTATTTTGTGTAATTGCGGAATGAAGATCCTGAGAGGAGTCCTTACAGAGAATGGAAATATGGGCCACACTGCATGCGAAAGTTATTATTTCAGGTTTACATTAAGTTTCTCAAGTTTCACTTCAAAGAAACAGCCAGGATTTCCATGAGAACGTGTGATGCTAATTCACTGACATTTTATAATGTTCGACAGACCACATGCAATATTTATTTCATTCAAGTGCAGAAACTTTATAGCAACGAATAGTAGAAATAAAGTATTGATAATGACAATTTGCACAATAATTACAACTTGAAATCACAGTTCTCAAACTAGGAGGTGAAAACACAATCACTTTACATGTACTGCTGTACAGTATCTTGCCAAAAAAGTTTAACAATAATGAAAACTATGTTCATAATGTAGAAACTATGTTCGTAATGTATGTCAGAATATATCACATGTGGTTTGAATAAAATTAAAATATTCTAAAAATATTCAGTTTGGTGTGCCCTTAGGCTTTACAAAATTTATTGTAAATAATTACCTTGTTAGTTCCTCTAAAGGGCAACATTGCGCACGGTTGTGTACTAGGATGAGAGATGTTCTACGATTCATAGGCTAGGGACATCTCTTTACCATTGAAGAGAATATAGTGACATGGAATGCCGCATAGGAATGTGCTGGAGTAAGATGCTGAAACCAACATCTAAATAGCACATTAAAAAAGAAATGCAATAACTATTTTTAGGGACATGTTCGCTAACAAGAAATTTTGCACGAGGTGGTTTGCAGTAGACACAAACTTGCCCAACTTAGAGAACCAGTCCGAGAGCTGCGCATATCGCCGGTACACAAGGAAAAATCTTCATGCGAAGAAATAGTTTTAGAAAATGATATATTTTTACTTGCAAGAAATTCATAAATATAGTTCACAAAGCCGCCGGAATGTAGAGTTCGTCTGAGATGTCCAAAGCGGCTCCGCTCAGATGAACAGCGCTCTCTTGCAGAATGAGCGGGTTTTAGATGAGCACTTTTCCTGCACACTGTCGGAGAGGCAAATACGCATTTATTCTGAAAGTAAACATATTACTTTATATGAATGGATTTTATTGCAACACAATTCCATAAATCGAAATTAGTATTTTGATTCCTGACACAATGATATAAATCAACCCTTATCGATTGTGTAGTTTCGGTACTTTTTAGCCCTTTCTTTCGAAACCACAAGGCTGTAAGTATCTCTTTCATCTTTCTTTTGAATTGTATTTTGTCTAAAAATTATTTTTTACGTTCATAATTATATTCCTTACAAGTATTCTTGCCAACTCTGCGTGATTCACTCGTATGTTTTGTGTACAATAATTTTAATTACAATGAAACTACAATCAAATGCAACATAATCAATAAACTACTTGAATTATAAGATAGAGGCAAATCAATTTTTGCATGGACTTTTGCCCCTTTTTACAAAACGATGCCTTCCAGAGTTGATTGTTTAGAAGAACTTTCTTCTCTTTTTACCTGATAGATTAAGAAATTAAACAGATGAGCTTTTTGCTTTTGTAATTATACTAAATGCTCACTCAAAATGTCAGCACGTTTCCTATCTGAAACGATCTCGTTTTCTAGGATCACATGTTTTCTCTTGGCTAGTGACAATCACCCTTGACTTGCCTGAAACGCACATTCCGTCTTCACCGAACCGATCTCACAAGCAAACTAGACTTCAAAGTGCAAGTCACCTCGCGCGGGCAGGGCTGCCCCACAGAGTAGTGTTGGCTGGTGACCATCAAATCGGTTTAGCGCGCGCGTCAATAGCCAGACGGTAACAAGTTATGGAGATAAGGTAAATATATTCAAACTGCAATTTGCCG